AAAGTAATGTAATGCTATATTTTCATAAATGATTCAAAATGCAAAAATTTATTTTATGTAAGCAGGAAGCTAAGTGGTTTTCAGTACACAAAAGAGGAACTGCAAAAGATGAGCTACTTCTGAAAATCAATAGGAGAAATGATCTTTCTCATGAAACATTAAAGGAGATATTTTGGTTAGCCCCAATTTGTTTTTAAGGTAATACAATTTATCTGGGTGAAAAACGTATTTCTACTATTATAATAAAGATCATCTAACTTAAGTAACATCAGCAGTTACCCAAAATGAAGGTTTTTTTAAATGATGATGAAAAAAATCTCAGTCACTTGTATTCTACTAGAATCTCAGTATCCTAGCTTTATGCTGATTTGTATCCAATTTGAGTAGAAATGGATATGAGTGTTTATCTTCCATAATAGCTTGCCACAAGCCTACTGCTTGAATCATGTAGCATATGGAAATTGTGTTTAGCTACTTGCAGAATTTCTCAAACAAAAAAAAGATTCATTTCTGCTCATATGGCTTGTTTACAGTCATTATAAAAGCATGTTACTATGTTGCTTACTAGTTAGGAGAAGCAAGTGTTGGCATACTCCACATTCCATTACATTGGCCTTTAGGAAATGTACGTATTGATTTTCAGTTATAAAATAGTAAATCATTATAATTTCTTGTGTTTTAGACCTGAACATTTTAGGATGTATTTTTATTCTTCCACATTATATCTCTTCTAGATATTTTATGGTAGTTATTGACACCTTTTACAAAAATATATTAGAGACTGTTCATGCTTATGTGAATTGCCATCACAGGATTAATCTGTAACTTATATGAGCATATTTTATTAATAACATCTTATCACTAAATTGAATATGGATATTTAACATTTAATAAGCCCAGAATGTATATGTAGAAATGTACTTCATGCCATTGGGTTTTGAAAATGTGGAAAAGCCATTACAACAGCCTAAGAATCTTTAAACATGCCCCCCATAATATACTACTTGCAATGTTGCAACTCATTTAAGGAATAGTTCTTGATAACAATGATTATAATATTTTTGTTTGTCAGCATACTAAACAATATGTCCTCAATGTATGGAAATAAAATGTTTGATACAATTTTAAAAATATAGATTGTACTCTCTCTTAAATTCTGGAAATATATTTGCCATTTAATGATTCATAAACACGAAACTCATAAAGTGAAGGAATAGAATTCAAAACTATAAATATGAAAAATGATTAATTTTTTGTAGTAGTTTATTCTTATTAGTAAAGTAGTATAAGTTGTCTACAAAGCAGTATTTTTTACATGGCTGAATAATTAAAATGTTTTTAATCCACTTTTATCTTTAAAATATCTTGATTACTAAATGACTGTTTCATCATTTATATATAACTACATATACATATATCCATTTATATTTATGTTTGTTTAAATAGTAGATTATGAATGTAAATATATTTGATATGTATCCTGGCACCAGAAGCCAATTCTTTTTCCTAAATGACAAAAAAGCTTGTTAGCCTGAAAAAAACTAACTTTTGTTTAGGTTCTGTCATGTACAAAAATATTCTAGGCAGCTTCATCTCCATTTTGAACAATTCTACAGTTCAGTCAAAATTTCTCTAAAATTATTTGGTTTCTCATTTTTATGAAATAAAACGAATATTTAGGGAAACTTTCAATAAGTATTTCACTAATTCTTGCTATTGCTATTTTGTTTAAGTCATTTTGAGATATCAAAACATTTTCAAAAGTTCTCTGTATGAAAATACATGTATACATATGTATATGTACATACATAAATAATCTCTTACATGATTACATTCGCATGGTTGAATGGCTTCTTCTGAAAATCCCTTTAATGTTAAGAATACCTGGAGAATAGCAAAGGGAGAACGTCTGCTTTAAAGAATGTTCTGTGTCTGGAAGTAGAGACAAAATTTTCCGAGTATACATGGAGTCTAACATTTCCTGGTGCTGGATGATGAATCAATTTTGTAATTACTGAACATACAGTTTATTCCCAGATTGCACATTTCTCACCTGTAACAGAGGCCTGGAGCAGTTGTGTGTATGGGCATAGAGTGTGCATTTATTTCCCAGGCCAGGGGACCAGAATGTGGGTCAATCCAGCAGTGTTGGTGATGAGGCAGGTGGAGTTGTCCCCAGTGCCAGAGGCAGTTATATCGCTCTTTTATGTGCTCCTTGGGCTACAGAGCTTCTTCACTCCACAAGGCCTTGTACCAGAGCATTGCTCACAACCTTCTTGCTACTCCACCTGGGAAGTAATTTTCTCCCTCCCATAATCAGGGAATATATTTTTCTTAATACAAACTATAAACCTGAATTCAAGAATATTCAGAATTTTGAGAGTATCTTTCTTGCACTGCTCTATTTTCTTAATACAATGCCAAGTTTACTCATAAGCATGAAGATCAAGGATATTGGACTATTAGAGATAGTTCCCATTTAAATTTTTCTGTCTTCAACAAAATCATTGAAATAATCTCTCTATTCAAGAATGTTCTTTTTCCACCACCACTCATCATGTACTCATTTCAACAGAAATTGCTCTGAAGAGATACAAAATTGACCGTTCTTCAGTGAATTAGGGCTTAAAATGCAAAATAAGCTGAATTGATACAACTTATACCAACATTATTGAGGGTCTACTGAGTTCCCAGCACTGAACTAAACCAGATAAAAATTTAATTAAATAAATCACCATGGCTAAAGACCTCCTAGCTTCACAGCATTGAATTAGACTTGATACAGAAGTAACATGTTCTTCACTCTGAAGTGTAAAGCAATGAGATCATAACATATCCTTGAAAATATGGATCAGGATATCGCAACAGATAAGACACAGAGACGGATAAATGAATATCAGAAGCCAATTGGATATGTAAGGAAAGTGAATGACTTACAGTGTTCTGGCTTGGGGGATTAGGTAGATTTCACTCCCCAGTAACGCCTACAGAGTACATGGTGAAAAGTGCTGGCAAGGCTGAGACAGTGAAGCATTGCTGAGAGAGGAAATGGTGATCAAGAACTCAATCAAGTTAATGCTGGTGCTGGAGAAAATTACAAATTAATAAATTTTGTGCTGTGGCCCTGATTCCATCTTTTCAAACTCAGTCATCGCTGTGTAACTTAAGTCTTTGTCACTTTTTGTCTGGACTAAGTAGTCTTCTGTTCTCCAGGCTCTATATTACAGCTAACGTAATTATTCCAAAATGAAATATAATCACCTTTCTTTCTTGCTTACATCCTTTCACTAGTTTCTTATTGCTTATAGGAACAAGCTTAATCTTTTTACCTTGGTATACCAGGCCCTGTATGATATGGCTACGACTTGTTCTCCCATGTCTGCTCCTATCATTGCCCAGTCTGGCCCTATATTCTCATCTTACGAAAATGCTAACATGGATTTCACTAAGGATATCATGCTGTTCTATAGTTTCATGTCTTTGCTTATGCCAATTCCTTCTGCATAGGATGCTGTCCTGTCTTCATCTCTTTTAGCTTTTTTCCTTTCCTAAACTTCTGTAACTGGTAGCTCCCCTCATCTTTTAAGATACTGTTTAAATATTCTCTGTTTTAGACCTTTTCCTGACCTTTCCCAGTAGCAATCTATCATCTGTTATAACCAGACCTTACATCTCTACTAAAACAATTAGAAAAATGGATTTAAGTTATTTACATGTTTGCCTCTTTTATTAGACCATGGGATTTTAGCTAGTTTGGGTTGGAAATAAGACAATGATGCAATGATTCATAGCTTTCTAACAAAATACATCTATTGGTATCTATCAATGAATAAAGGTGACTATCTTAGACTTTCCCAAATCAAATTTATCTTTCTCAGCAATTTGACTAAGTTACAGATCACTCTTTTATTATGCGTTCCACACTCGTGAGAAGATGGTATTCTAGATGTCAAACATATATAAAAGAAGAGAGAACAGTGTAATGAATTCTATTACCCAGTTTCCACAATTATTAACTAATGGTCAACTGTGTTGCCTCTACACTGTCTGTAGCTCCACTCTCTCATCCTCCCTCCAAATATTTGAAGCAAATTCCAGACATAATAACATTTCATTCGCAAATATTACAGTGTGTATTAATATTTCTAAATGATAAGGGCACTTTTAGAAAACATTGATGATACCATTATCACATCTAAAATATTTGCAATTTCCAAATATCACCCAATAATTAGTGTTCAGTTTTGCACTACTTCTTAGATTTTAAACTGTTTAAATACAAGTGTAGTAAGGTCTATGCTTTGTGAATGGTTGATTGTTTTCTTTTCTTTTTTTTTTTTTTTAGGGACAATTTTGCTCTATTAGGGATATTTTGTCAATATTCAGAAACATGTTTGGTTTTTACACGAAAGGAGGAGTGCTACTGATATCTTGTGTGTGGAGGCCAGGGATACTGCAAAACATCCTACAATACACAAGGCGCCACCACAATAGAGAATTATCTAGCGAGACTAGTAAAAGGGTGACATTGAGAAACCCTGGTCAATAGGTTCCCCCTGCATTATATATTGTATTGCAATTTATTTGTTGAATAAACTGGGTCATTTGTCTTATAAAGTTTTCCACATCTATATTTTGTTAATGATACATCGTAGTATAATTTAACATTTTTTTCTGTTTCTTGCATCATCAGATTCATATACAATTTTCTTTTGCTATGAAAACTGCTTTTTTTTCTGTGTCATAGATAGTGTTGTGTACTTCCATCAGGAGGCACATAATGTCTGATCATCTCTCTCTTTCTCATCAGTATGGGAAACTATTGGTGATCAATGTCTAAATTTGTTAATTCATTAGGAGTTGAAAAATAGTCATATTATATTTTTATAATTTATTCATTTATTGAAAACGTCACTGACTCTTAGAAATATTCACTCCAACGTTTGATAGAAAAATAGCATTGTGCATGAAACATTTATGCATTTTGTATTTCTTTTCAGAAACATCCTGTACCACCTTGATGAAAAGACGAGCCGGTTTTCAATACTTGTGGAGGCTTGGGAACACTGCAAACCCCTTGCATCAAATGAGACCCTTCAGGAAGCCCTGTCAGAGGTGTTGAACAGCATTAATTCAGCTCAGGTTTACTTCAAAGCAGGACTTGATGTGTTCAGGAGTGTCTTGAATGGAAAGAATTGAGAAAACTCTGAGCATTTTTTAAAGTTTGCTTACAATTCCACAAGCAAAAGCTCTAATTTAACCAGATTTTCTGACACTGAAGGCTTATTTTCCCCCATGGCTTTTTGACAAGTATAAAGCTATTATTACATTGTATTTTTTAAATGTAAATATAAAAAGAACATTTTGCACATTTAATATTTTTTGTATCTACATTTCTGACTATGTAAAGCAAGTTATTGAAATAGAACTTAAGAATTACCTATTAAAAAGAAATCTGATATTTTATATATGTGTGTATATATATATACACACACACACATACACACACACTATTTTGAGGAGAAAGTTTCAAGAAGTTCCAGAGTATCTTTGTTCCTATGGGCAGAGCATATAGGAACACAGTTTATTCTCTCTGATAGAGCTATTAATGACCTAGTTTCTGTAAAAGAAATGAAGAGTTGATATGGTTCCGATTAACTTCACTATTAAGTGTTCAATATGAAGAATTCAAGTATTGTGACTGAGTGATTGGTTGACCTAAACCACTTTGAATGTTTCTATTTTATGAAATGAAGTTTCTCTTCCTAACACAACTAGATGTAGTAATACACTGGTTATGAAATTGTATTTTTTTAAGTATTAATGAAAAAAGAGCCATAAGCATTCCAGGGAAAAATCTCAAGGTAGCTACACAGAGCAATTTAAATGCAAATTTTTTTCCTAACAACTTACAAGGTGACTAGCTTTGAAACCCCTAATTTGCCTCAGTTGATTTTCTAAGAATTTCGGGAGTGATGTATGTCTTAAGAGGGACAAAAAATATATCTTACTACTTTTTCTCTTGTTTCTTTTGGAATCACTGAAACAGGGACTACTCTAAAATGAAAGCATCTCACATTGGTTTTCTTTCTTGTATCTTTTCTGAAACTCCTTGCTGTAAGGCAGCTTTCACAGAGTACTATATATTTTCCACAGTAAAGTAGCAAAGTTTCTCTTTGAAACCCAAAATATCTTCTAAAGCATCAAATTTCTATTTCTGCCTCTGACAAAAAGAACTTACTATGAAAGAAATAGTTGTTTTTATCAATAAAAGCTCCTTAATACTATGAAGAAACTTTTGGTATTTTTTCTTCTTTATCCTTAATTGTGACTATGATGGAAATCTAGAAAATCTTCATGCTTCTAAGTTTCTACAGGGTTACTGTAAGAGAGTGTCTCATCTACACTTCAATTCTTCTCTCATGTGGAAAACTAAGTTTTTTATATTGACATTGTCGTTGAATAGCTCTAGCAATTATTATTATTCTCCCAAACACTAACATTCTACCTATTAAGTATCAGGTTAAAGTTCTCATTTATCTTTAGAAGTTTATTTGAAAAATGGTTTTCATATACTGGATAAAGCAATTCCCCTTAGGAAACATAGCCTCAGAGTATTTCATATAAATTTTCTCTACCTAATTCAAACATACTTCGCCATCATACACCACCAGAGCAACATTGCAAATAGTCTGTGTATATTTAAATTTTCACTTTCTATGGATGAGCATAAACTTAGTCTTAGTTTAAAGGCTAACTAAAGTTGAGGGAAGATAATTAATCAATATTCATTAATTGATTTATAAGGTTCAACACTTTCTACCCTAAATTATTTTTATACGCTCAAGGCAAAGCACGGAATTGAGGCAATTAGCTAGATAATTCAAGCAGAAACCCATTTTCATGGAAATTGCCTGTGTGCACATATTTTTAGATGAAAAATGAAACTACCTTACAATATTATTTTTTACCAATGTATTTGTTTGAAAACATTTGCCATGTTGAAGAATGTGTATAGGAAAGGGCTAGAAATAAACAGGCTTGTGCATACCGAGACATTCATGATTTTTCTTCCTCTTCAGAGATCATCAGAAAAGAGGTGGGAATACACATGCAGGTGCATGTGAGCCCAAATGCCAGAAAGTCTTATACCAGAAGAACTTAAATATTTAACCACAGGTTGATGTATTCATTCCTGTTATTCATTTACAGATGAAATTAAAACAAAGAAAGGCAAACTATTATCAGTTTGGTAGTTCACTATTTTAGAGCAAATTTCTAAATGAATTTATTCCCATAACCTGCAATAGCACTGAGAGCAGAAAATATGTTTCTTCTTCACCTTTGTTTAAAGATTGCGTACCTAGGTAAGTCACATTGTATAGATAAAAACCTTCTTCTGTATTCCTCACCTCTAAATTAAATGTTATTTGCTATTTGAAAACTGTAGTTAACTATGGTTTTTATTAGTCTATTAAGAGATACGTGGAGAAATTTAATTATAACTAAAGCAGATGTCCAAAATTCTATACATGCTGCTTTACATCTTTGCAACAAACCTCTTAACTAGCAGCATTATTTCTATAGTGTGATTACCTGAGAGTGCCTCCAAATGTATATCATTTCACTCCCCTCCGCACCCCACCCCCAACAGATCCAAATAAATAAAATCCTGAGCAAGTTAATAGCAAGTGTTATGTGAATTGGTAGTAGGTTTAAATTGTTGCTGAGTTGTCCATATGCCTGGTGCTTCTCACAATCTTTCATACATAGAATCGTGCCTAGGAAATAATGAATCATGAATATTCTCTGAAGAAAATGTGGCAAAGGCGTAACAGTGAAATTTATGTTCAGGCAGGGTATGCATGAAATACTGCCCTTTATGGAAAAGCATAAGTCTCAGAATCAAAAGAAAGCCTAAGAAGGATTCTGGTCTAAGCCCTGAGATCTTGCCTTCAGCCAGAGAAGGCACTATCAGTTACCCCCACCAGATGTAATAACTAAACCCAAAGCGAATAAGAAACTTGGACATAGTTGTGTATTTAGTTAGTAACAAAAGCACCACTGGAATTTAAGCTTCTCTGCTTTCTCATGCAGTATATCTTGCTTTTCCCTGAGGAGACAGGGTTATAAAAGATCTTTTCCAGTGCATTCTATGTAACCAGCCATTCTATCAGATGTTGCATGGGCTGGTTTTAATTCAAGGCTAGTTCTTTCTCTGACTGTACCTGACAAACAAAACTGTCCCCAGGAATTCGGGCAAAGGAAACAAAGACTGCGTACTTGAGAGAGCGTGAGGAGAGTCCTTACAGAACACCAGAAGTCAGGAAGAAGGACATTGAGCAAACTATTTCTGTGAGAGGGCAAGTTAGGCCAGTGTTAACTAAACAATCTAAATCACCATTTCTCAAAATGTGAAATTTAGAAAGACAGGGCTAGGAATCTACGTCTTCAGCAGGATTTCTGGATGTTTCTTACACACACTGATGTTTAAGAATTTCCAATCTACATTAATCGTAGGTTCCAACGTAGGTTCCAAGAAAATGCTAGTTGACATTTCTAGATAGATTGAAGAGTCATAGTAACAAGAAAGACATAAATCTTTGTTATTAATGGAATCATTATGAGAAAAGAAAAGTGGACCCATTTTATCCCTAAGAAAACAATTCAGTTGCAGCTTATATTTGCGCTTGCTACATCCCAGGGACTGGTGTTCTAGAATTTTCCCATGTATTTTTTTTTTAATTCCCACAATAACACATTTAAAAATGAGAAAACTAGGTTGAGTGACTTGTCCACAGTTCCAAAGCTAATAAAAATGTTGAGGCATGTTTCTCTTCTGGGCTCACTGTATTCAGTTCTTTGTTCTTACACTGAGTGCTGAAAAAAAAAAAAAAAATCATACTATTTTCATTCTAGAAAGTGATATAATTGGAAATTTTAACGTATTTCTCCAAAACTGATCAGACTGTTCAGTCTGCCATTTTTTTGGTACAATAAAAGGGTTCGAAGAAACATGACATCATTCCTGATGATGGTAGCCCCTCCAACAATGGTGTATATATATAGGTAAAGTTTGAAGATATCTAAAGAGCATGAAAAGGCAAGTGCACCATTGTGGAATCTCATGACAAGTAGGCTTACAAACAGTAAAAAGAGACCAGAAACCACAGGTCTTACACTTTCCTTCTCTAAATGCTTACATAATTTCAATTAAAAAAAGAAAAGCAGGTGCTGTGATTTAGAACCACAGTTTTATGTTATTTTTAAAAATTCAGATTAACCAATTGACCTTTTTAATTAAATAAATGTAGAACATATAGTAAGTTTCCCCAGAAGAAAGATAGATGTTCACAAAAATAAAATAAATACTTATTTGTGACCATCTTACTAATGATGAATCAGCATCTTTGCCTCAAATGAAAGTCTATAATTATTTGTATGACAAATTGGTAGACCTAGCCAAAAATGTTCTCATGAGACATTCTGTGATATGTGTAATTGATTACTCCAAAAATAAAGCTTTCTCTGAGGGTAACACATTGTCATTTCATTGGTTTAATGGGCTATTTAAATGTGCCTTAGCCGCACATTTGCTTAATAGAAAGGAATTATTTTAAACTACCAATCCATATGTTGAGTGGAAAGGAAGTTGGCCCACATATTCCAATAAAAATATCAGCAACATAACAGTTTCATCACGGGACCATGGATACAGTGCAGGGAAAAAACAAACAAACAATACAATATTTGAGAAAATAAATATTCTGCCCAGCCACACTAGTGAGTTTTTATTTCTTTTATGAGTTTAAATTATCAACTTTAAAAAGCCTCATTAGAATTTGCTATTCAGAAAGACCTTAAAAACCCTCACAGAGTTCTAAGCATCCCATTCATTGAAAATACTTTTCAGTTAAGTAGATTTGTTTTGTGCACTTCACAATTTTAGGTGGCATGAATTTGAAGCGCAGCAAAAGAAATGTATAAAAGATAGCCTTTTCTGGTCATTACCGTGTCTACTCAAGTTTCTGTTTTCTAAGTACACTCTAACATTGTAATTTTTCCCCCTGAGAAGTAATTTTAAGATCTATCAGTCTCAATTTAAATGATCTGTTAATCAGCCAGAGTTTTAGTTTCATAATATCGTTCCATTGTCTGACAAAGATATACACACTAAAGTGCCTTTAGCAGGCCTGGGACTGTCAAGAATCTAGGTATCGTGATTATTGCAAGATGACATATTTCTTAAGACGTTTATAATCTTATATTTGGATTTAATCTGAATTTACAAATAAAAGGGTTAAATTGAGGCAGTTTCAAGCAGCATTTAAGAAAATGAAGTGGCTTCAAATTTTAATGCTTCTGGTTAGATTATTTTGTTTAAATTATACAATTATATAATTTTCTGTAACCAAAATGGTAATTTTGATGGATTTTTTAACGCCAAAATCCAATCATCAAGGCCAAAGAAATGCACGATTACTCTGCTGTCTTATGCGCGATTCAATCAAGAATTAACTCAGAGGCATTTGATTCAGTGCTTACATCTAGACAAAGTTTTAATGAGTGCAGACACAGCCTAACAATATTTCATTTAATTTCTTTGAGGGCTTAAGCCAATAAACACTGCGGTAGTTTTACTCAGAAGGAAACAGATTTTATTTTCCAGGTGCTAATTAATATGTACCACCTAAGTCCCCAAAGGATCACACAGGTGCCTGTATCATGCCATATGTCATGTGCTATATTCCTGCAAGCTCAAGAGAATAATATACCATCATTATTATGAATTATTATGTTGCATTGAAATTAATGTCAGTCTTTTTTTCTAATTAAAGTACAAACTTGGCATGTGAATAGAAGCTTAGCTAGAGAAGTGGAGTTAGAGTCCCTATTTTAATGAACTACATATATTTTTCAATCAAAATGTTTAATTATTTAATTATCTAGCCTGCTCGGTAATCATAACTCTCCAACTTCTTCAAAGGACCTTTATTCAATGTGTTACCACTCATATGGTCATTACTTGGTGTGTGTTTTATATTTTGAATTTCTTAGATGCTTTCAGTGTATGTGCTGGTGTTTTATTAATATTAAAATTTTTTGTTTACTTCTATATCAAACTGCCGCAAATGGACTACCTTATTTTGAAAGTTAGAATAAAATGCTATTACTCTCTAAGCAGAACTTTAGCATATCTGTTTGATAAGAAACACAAACAAAATATTTTTCTACGCTATTGCAAATTGTCCGCAAGAAACAAAATGCCAGATGGTTAAGTGTAGCTCACATAATTATATTCCAAAGATGTTATAAATAATTCTATTTAGCATCTGAGATAGGTCTCTATTAGGCAATTTCATGTTTACATTTCTAACACAAAGGTTTAATGGCACATACATGCCTTATATTCTAACTTGCTACTTGGAGAATGTGGATATTCTGAAAAGAAAAACCCTTTCTAGAACACTTTGCAGGGCTAATTTTTTTTTATAGACATCTAGAAAATAGCCTGGGCAACAAAGTGAAACCCTGTCTCTCTCTCTAAAAAAAAAGTTACTAGAGAGGCTGAGGCGGAAGAATTATTTGGGCCCAAGAGTTTGAAGCTGCAGTGAGCTAAAATCATGCCACTGTAGTCCAGCCTGTGTAACAGACAGAACCTATCTCAAAAAAAAAAAAAAAAGAAAGGAAAAGAAAGTCACATGCTGTTGATAATAGTTTTATATGTGTTTGGAATGTTAATATGGGATACATACATTTAAATGCATTTAATGCTTTAATCATGTATGCAACGTAGCAGCATTTAGATATGTAAGATTTTAGAAGTAAAATCTCAGTGCTATAACATTTAAAACACAGCCTTAAAATGAAGAAAAGGGAAGAGCAGGAGAAAATTTATAAATTAACCTGAGGTAAAATGTGGAGGAAAATTTTTCCAAATAAATTTGCTTTGATTAAAAACAAATATCTCTCAAGAGTTGCCCCAATTACTAAATTATGTTGAACTGTTTTGGTGTTTAGCCTTGTTCAAAATAGTTTGATTATCATCTGTGATTCAGAAATATTTTCATTGTACAGAGATTTCATTGTCATTGTAGTTGTTGTAACTGATTTTTAATGATATTGATTTAAAGGCATTTGTCTGCAGTTTTAAAATTACTATATAGGGTTGAATGTCTAATTTCTATAATGTGTGGATGCCCATCAGATATTTACTGCATTCTATATTTAGACAAGTGTGATCACAATTTATTTTATAACTTTTTATGTGTTACATAACTCAATGTGCATCTTACTTAAGAAATTATGTTGTAATTTGGAGTGACACAAATAGGTTGAGATATCACGTCCATTAAAAATATAAGTGAATATTTTATATTTAAGTTGTTTAAATATTTGCACATTATTGAAAACATAGTACTATGAAATGAAGGCACCATTTTAAAAACGTGTTCTGAGTCACAAATTTCATGAATCTGTACAGTGAAATGTTAGTGTTTAAAGCACCCATTTTGAAATTATTAAATACAGGTAAAAACATTGCTATACTGTGCTTTTATGACAAAATATACAGTATTTTGTGTACACAAACAAATTAGTTATTACTCTATTTTATTAATGAATTATTTTTATATAATATGTATGACACCCAAACAGATGTTCCCTTGTTTAGGGAAAATTCTATGATATTTTATCATCTTTTTTGTCCTTGCCTTCCATTCTTTTCTTGAAAATTTAATTATCATATTGGGTCATTTAGATTTGTAGTTTGTGACAAGTTCGAACATCAAGTAAGAGTACCTGTATCAACTGCAATGTTAAACAGTTTTATTTTCTCAAATTTGCTCTAAAAAATCTTCTCTGTTATTTTTCACATAGAAAAGAATTTTCTGTTTGCATGGTGAGTGTAATAGATTTCATTCATTTATTCATTCAGGAAATATTTGCTAAAAACCTCTTCTAGACCAGGCACCGTATTAGGCACTAGTGATACAGAGATGATTAGCACAGATGAGCACAATTTTACTTTTGGAGTTTCACAGTCAAATAGGATACAACACTTCAGTTTAACTAGTAGCAATATCCATGGATAGTATAGTTTATTGCAAACATATTGGCAGAGCAGAGATGGTTTAGAGGTGCTATATGCTCAGGCCACATGCCAGTCCCACTGGACCTTCCTTAAGACTCTCTAAATAACAGTGTTCTTTCTCTAACATCTCTGCTATACAATAGCCTGCATTTATTAGGGGCATAGCACTGTGTCAGACTTTGGTTGCCAAGCATCACTTGGATGAAATCTTTTAACTTTTAAAATAACCTATGAGATAGGTGTTATATCATTTTGTTCCATTTGATGGATGAAAAAACTTATGGTTAGGGAGATTAAGAACTTGTGATAGTTATTATATTACTATATACATACAACTACATAGCTATAAAAAACTTTTTAAAAATCTGCAGGAATATATATATATATATGTATGTATATGTGTATGTAGACACACACAAAGGAGGTAAAATTAAAACAACACATAAAGTTGTGTATTACTTATGGATGTGTATATATGTATTCAAAATATTAAAATCCAGACTGAAAAAATAAACACCTTGTTTAATTCACGATAGTAGGAGGGAAACAAGTGCTAAGGATATGATACAGAGGACAGCTTTAACTGTAATGCTTTATTTCTTGTATATATAAAAAGGAGTTGAAGCAAATACAATAAAACAGTAGGTGGTAGATTAGATTATTGTTCTTATTTCTTTTCATCCTCCCTTGTCAATTTAGGTGGTAGGCACATGTGTATTTATGTAATTCTTATTATATTTGTGAATTAAAAATAAAACTCTCAAAGTAACATAAAATCCTAATAAAGTGGTCTGATTCTGGAGCCCACACTTACAGCCACTAATCTAATCTGCCTTTTAAAATTTTATAAGCATGGTCTCTTTCTTGTCTTTTTCTTCAACTCTGCTAATCTTATAAAGGCTGCTTCCATAAGGCATTTTTCTGACATTCTAAATGCTCATAGTTGTAATTTCAATACGGTTACATTTATTATCCAATTTTTTTCTCTTCAGTTCTTCTCTATCTCGGTAAATACACCAGATTCTCAAAGCACGAAATAAAAATCATCTGTGATTCTTCTCTTTACCTCTCTGCTTACATCCAATCCATCATCATGTTGGCTTGCCACAAAATACAGCTCAACTCTGCACATTTCTCCATCACCACTGCTGCCATCCTACTCAATGCCACCATCTTTTCTCCCCTGCATTACACTAGTCATTATATCTATTTCAAGCAAAAGGGATTTTAAAACAGGAAAATGATTAGGAATTTATTAAATGTCCAGAGTAATGAAAACGTAAAAGTGCTGTTTTTCAGAGATAGTAACTGCAGGAAACCACTACTGACCTTAGCGCTGGAGAAGCATGAAGGAAGAAATCTATGATAACCCGGGAGCTAACATTCTACTGACACTCCTGGAAACTGTTGCTGCTGTTGGTGTAACCACTGCATGCCAGACTTAAACAACTGCCACAGTGTAGATCAGAAGCTTGGGAGTCTCTGCTCCCTCAGACTCCCCTACTAGAAGCACGAAAAACAAAATGAAACAGCTTCCACATGTTTTTACCTTTTAATCCTTATAAGTGCCTCTCATTGGCAGATCCAACTGGGATCCAGCTGGCACAAGGGTCTGTGGAATGTGCATGCATGTTCCCAGCTCTAACATTATGAGAGACGATGTAGGAGGTGGGTATGGGGGTGTGTCCATACAGACCATGGCTGACACAGTCTTCAAAATGATTTCTCTATGAAAGCATAAATGAGTGCACATACCTAACTCTTATATCTTGCATGTATCAAAATCCCTTGTTTTTTTTCTCTGAAACTATGTAGCTAATTTAACCATATAATATATAATAAAATAACATAAAATGGCTTTAGTGTAACTGTTCCATGCTAATTTATAACCAACAGGGTGATTAACTTGAGTGCAGAGCTAAGAGAGCAAAAGACTTGTAGACACACAGCCTTACGTTTTTAAAAGGAGGTCTATGTAAGGTGATATCAGAGCAGGGAATAAAAATAATAAAATCTTGTAGAAGCCAAGAAAGGTTTCTCAAAGGAGAAAATATTTGCGTTGTGTCTGAAGGTTAACAGAAGTACTTCAGGAGGAAAAGGAGAATGATGGCATCCCAGAAAAAGGGAACAGCATATCCAAGTCACACACGATAAAGGACAGGACATTCCCTTAGTTTTCTGCTTCAAAGTTTCTGTTTCTTTTTCTCACCCTCAGCAAAGACTGGAATTTTTATATTGTGGTTTTTGTGAACAGAACAACTTCCGGACTGCTTATATTTTAATTTAGACACCATGTGATATTATAAAACGTTTAATGTGACTAACTTAGAAAGAAAATAAACTGAAGAGATATTTATCATAACATGGAAGTCATAGTATTAGTAGTTTCCCATCATATTCGGCATAAAATTCATATGTCTTAGGATGATTTCTAAGACCTTTCCTGGCTGACTCCCACTCTTCCCTTTCCTTCTCAGTGCTTACCTCTTTTCCAACCCACATTTTTTACTACAGCCTAATTGAAGAGCCCAGGTTTTCCTGTATGTGCCATGTTTTCTCATGTCTCAGTACCTTTGTGACTGCTTTCACTCTTTCAGTGGAACAACCCTCCGTTATGCATATACCATGGACATCTATTTTTTCTAAAATAAGATTTTACTGATAAAGACATTTCAAATTTTCTGTGGAAAATTATTCAAACCTGCCTCATAGCACATTATATTGTCATGTGGGGTTCTTATAGTTCCTGGGATGTGATGAGTTAATTCTTTGTTGAGTCTCTAAGCCACCCTAAATTATGTCTGTAATTTTGTCTTTGATTAAGCTACATAGGCTTGGTTTCTCTTATTCCCCGCCCCCGCCAAAAAAAAAAAAAAGAGAGAAGAAAAAGTTTTTAAAAATCCCACCAGATTTCTGGAAAAAAATAGATATAAGTCCAGAGAAAAAATTATGCAAATTAACACTGCTTTGCTAACTGGGGCATCAGCCCCAAGTCCTTTTTTTATTTGAGCATCTTGGCTAGACATGGAAAAAAATCTTCAGTTTACCTTGTTTGGCCTGAATAACTTAGGAGACTGAAAGTATTGCTCTGCCTATTCAACATGAAAACCCAAAGTCATAAACAAATTGAGTTCTTCCTTGTTTGCTTCAAATATGTGGTAATCACTTTCATTCTTTCTTCTTTATTCTCAGCAGGTCGTTTCACTTCTTCCTTCCCCAAACGTAGAAACTTAACTGTATTTCCATGCAAAGTATCTTCCTTTCTTCCTAAAATGTTAGATAAGTCTTGCATATTCAATTCCATTTAAGAAAAGAGAACATCATGGACAACAAGAACAATAAAATCAATAGCCTAGCTCCATTCTACTTCCATATATAGGTACTTACCTTCCTTTGCCTCTCAGTCATAATTAAACTTTTTTCAGACACTAAATGTCATTATGCCTTTT